ATGTAAAAGACCTATACAAAGAAAACTGCAAAACACTACTGCAAGAAACCAAAAGAGATCTACATAAATGGAAAAACATACCATGCTCATGGATAGGTAGACTCAATATCATGAAAATGACAATTCTACCGAAAGCAATTTACAAATTCAATGCAATCCCAACCCAAATACCAACATTGTTTAAAGAGATGGAAAAACTAATTGTTAACTTTATATGGAAAGGGAAGAAGCCCCAGATAAGTAAAGCACTACTGAAGAATAATAAAGTAGGAGGACTTGCACTACCGGACCTCAGAACCTACTATACAGCTACGGTAATCAAAACAGCCTGGTACGGGTACAATGACAGATACATTGACCAATGGAACAGAATTGAGAACCCAGATGTAAATCCATCCAGCTACAGTCACCTGATCTTCGACATCGGCCCAAAGTCCATCAAATGGGGAAAAGACGCTCTTTTTAACAAATGGTGCTGGCAAAACTGGATGTCCATCTCCAAAAAAATGAAACAGGACCCATACCTCACACCATATACAAAAACTAATTCAAAATGGATCAAAGACCTAAATGTAAAGCCACAAACTGTTAAGTTCTTCGAAGAATAAATAGGATCAATGCTACTGGCCCTAATACATGGCATTAACAGGATACAAACCATAACCAACAACACACAAACTCCAGAAAATAAGCTAGATAACTGCGATCTTCTAAAAATTAAACACTTATGGAAGCTCCAAAGACACATCCAAACTTCCTGAGAGACCCAATTGCTGGGTGGAGGGCTGTGGGGACCATGGTCTCAGGGAACATCTAGCTCAATTGGCATAACATAGTTTATAAAGAAAGTGTTCTTCATTCTACCTTGGTGAGTAGTGTCTGGGGTCTTAAAAGCCTGTGAGCAGCCATTTAAGATACTCCACTGGTCTCACACCTTCAGGAGCAAGGGAGAAAGAAGAAAACAAGATACAAGGGAAAGATTAGTCCAGAGGACTAATGGACCACAACTACCATGGCCTCCACCAGACTGAGTCCAGTACAACTAGATGGTGCCCGGCTACCGCCACTGACTGCTCTGACAGGGATCACAACAGAGAGTCCTGGACAGAGCTGGAGAAAAATGTAGAACAAAATTCTGGCTCACAAAAAAGGACCAGACTTACTGGCCTGACAAAGACTGGAGAAACTCCAAGACTATGGCCCCCCGACACCCTTTTAGCTCAGTAATGAAGTCACTATCAAGGTTCACCCTTCAGCCAAAGATTAGACGGCCCTATAAAATGAAATGAGACTAATGGAGTACAACAGTCCATGGGCAAGGATTAGAAGGCAGGAGGGGACAGGAAAGCTGGTAATAGGGAACCCAAGGTCCAGAAGGGAGAGTGTTGACATGTCGTGGGGTTTTTTTTTTTTTTCAGTTGTACTTCAGGTGAACGTTTACAGAACAGATAGCTTCTCATTAAACAGTAGTACACATATTGTTTTATGACATTGGTTAACAACCCCACGACATGTCAACCCTCTCCCTTCTCGACCTTTTCTTTTTTTTTTGGTGA